CGATAAAATTTTCAAACACTGACTAGAATCCACTTCGATAAGATTTATACGAGTTTCTTTACGAGTTTCTTCATCGCCTTCGTTCACAAATAAACACAGCTTAAAATGTTGAAGGCCAAAGTCAACATCTAAGTCCTCAAGGTTGACAACTTTTATTTAAACTTTTTTTCCGAGGTAAAGAGACTTAGAGCTCCGAAATGAGCATTTTCTTTAAAAAATGTTGGTCCGTATAGCAAGTTACGGACCGCAAATTGACGAATCGCATGGCAAAAACAGACTCAGCCATATAATAATGAATCTTATAGCTGATAAGATCCTCAGTTAGGATCCAGTACTTCTATTTTGCTACGTTGGTCCCTGATTTCAAAACTAAATCCTTACTCTCAACTGCCTTCCGCAGCTTTTGAATGGTTCTCTCCCCATTTAAAGTCATGACCTGACCAGGTGCAGCAATTGCATCGAGGAGCTTGTAATTTATCTTTCTCGGAGGTCCATATCCAACGAACAGCACGTGTACAGCCCGATGAATCTACGACGAAAGTTCGCATTTCAATACGGGGCGCATAGGAGAATTGTAACGAAGGTTCCGAGTTGGTATTTTCAAGTTGTGTTATTTTGGTAATTTGCAAAGAGGTTCCCAAATAGTGTTTGTTTCATCCCGTCATCCCGACCCAGATTTGCTTATTCTCTTAAATCCCTATGGCTATTTCTGGCATCCCACATCTCTCATCCTGCGCATACTTTTAATCCCAAATCTCACCCTCAGTTGAACGAATATAATTCTTGAATTCGAATTCCAGCCCTCAAATAAGGAAAATCCCGGATTCAGAAAAAACCCTGTTGTGAATCCCCAATACATAATTATAAACTACTTTCATAATGGCAGCCCATTAGTACATCCTTTTACATGATGTGCAGAATACAAAATAATTCTTACATTCAAACAAGGTCAGATAGGCTAATTATCATACATATTTAAGAATATATAAATTGGCCACCATTATGACAGAGGTCTATACGGCCCAAACAACGGAAAAATTCACTTGCTGGAAAAAAAGGACCATATTGACAGGTTTTAATTTTGGAAAAATAATAATTGATCAGTTTGGTAGAAGGGTTAAATAAAGGAAGGTTAATAATTAAACTAACAGCTATTTATGCTTAGAAAACCTATGAAAATTGTCACTATTACACACGCAGTTATTCAATTAAAATTTCAAATTGGTGTACATGTGATTCATGATTCTAATGTAATTTTATGGTATTTAAGCTCTATACTTTGTCTCATTAAGCAAAATAATACCAAAATCGGGTACGAGTGAATACATGATTCTTGATCGCCATTCACTACTTAGTAAGAATACTCACCCTGAGATGATCTAAGGTCTCTTTGAATGGTATAATAGGAGGAAATTGTTTCCCGTCTGTAAAGACAACCAGCACGTCTGGGTAGTTCACTCTGTCGCCACCTTTCCTGGAGAATAGGCCGTCATGAACTTTGTTGAATCCTTTGTCTAGGCGCGTGCCAAACCTTTTCCCCAGCCGAATCGTTTGCAAATTTCTGATAAGTGCATCCTTTTTGAACGAAGAGCGACTTTTAAAGTTCAGTACAACTTTGGCCTTCCTGTTAAGAGTAACAACAGCTACCCGCGTTTTCTTCCTGCCAATCCTAAAGCGTTTGAAAAACCGAGGAAGAAATCTCTGCCTTAACCGCTGTAAGGATGTATCTCCGATGCTTCTTGATGTATCTATCAAGATGCCAAGATCCACTCCAGGAAATGCTGCAAATTAAAAAAAAACCCATTGATTTGCCTCTTTTTTACGAGTGAATTGTTCTACTATTTATGATGCCACGAAAAATATTGATTAAAAATCATTCAGCTGATGTTCCGCTAAGATTTAAATCTATTTAAGACATATTTAATAAGCTTTAAAGGAGCTGTGTCACGAAATTCAGCTAAATTAGGAAATTACAAAATGCCTGTTAAATTAAGAGAAACGTAAAAATGGCCGCTTAAAACTTTAAAGGAAGGTTAAAATAACATAAAAGAAACAACAGATGCCACTGATGGGCAAAACTGAAGAAGATTGAAACGGATTGAAATTAGGGTTTTTGAAAACTGTTCAGCGTAACAGTTTTTCAACGTTGATCCCTGCTGCTTGCAACTTCAAAAATAATGCTCAGGAGAAATATTTGTTTGCCTCGGATCTCTGATTTTGTCATTTACCTGTAATTTCTTAGCTTAATTTAAGTTCCATAGCTATTGAGAGCGAGTAATTGGCAAAATACAACAAAATGAACTGGACTGCCGTGACACAGCCCCTTTAAGTAGATTGTTTAAGGTGTTCAGATGGTGGGGACGACGCAAAGAGTAGTGAGCAGGAAAAACCGCGCCATACTCCACAATCTGAACGCTTGAAATAGGCTTAGCTTCATGGTAAAGAAGACTGTCTGAACGCTTGAAATAGGCTTATCTTCATGGTAAAGAACACTGTAGCTTCAGTCAAAAACTATGAACTGTAATATGGGCTATAATCCAAATTTATAGTCGAACGTCGTTTTAGACAGATCAAGATCATGTGCTGGTTGGTTATTTAAACAAAGTATAACTTAGATCGCGGTTTAGGAAATCTTTGGACCTCCATATCTCTTCTCAGTAGGATTTTAAGAAGACAAATGATTTTCAAGTCTACGCCATATGCTTTCATGAAACTGTTAACGATAAATGGTGTTTACATAAAAGTGTTCGGCAAACTCCAAATAGCTTAGAACGCGGTTTTGCTAAACATGGACTAAACTCCGTTCAAATAGCTGACCCATAGTATTTATCGCCAGTAACACTGAGCCTCGCGCATGGAGTATCTATCAGAGTTCTGATGATCATTGGCAACAACAGATTTTATCTTCTTCCCTCAGTCCTTAGAGCTATGTTAGATTCCTTTATCCTTCTGTAGCTCATTTTGTTATTTTTACAAGGGATGCATGGGACTTAGGGCCTCATTTCGAACCCTAATTTTTGTACTTTCCATTCCTATCTTTTACTTTAGGTCGGTCCTTTATTGTATGTAAGTTGTTGTTATTATTATTTGACAGAAAAGGTCAATTACTCGGATTGATTAACCTTTTGCTAAGGTCTTTCTGATAATGTGGACATTTCATAAGTACATACATCTTTTTACAGGTAGCCATTACTACACCTAAATGATCCTGCATAAACATCTCTCCTTACAGATAACACACCCAGACCAGGAAAGGTTGACCACACCACCAGGTTCTACGTCCCCTACTCTTTCTGAAGAGTGGTGTGGGTTCTTTTACCTCTCACAAGAACTAGATGAGACGGGCCCTACGGTTTTTCGTCCTTATTCGAGAAGACTAGAAAGTATAACCGTTTGCAGATGCGACTACAAAGGCATCACTTTCTTCTGAGTGTTGGTCCGAGCCATAAATTGATCAGTTTCATATTTACCCCCGCTAAGATACAAAAAAAAGTTGTTTCGCGTCGGTAACTCGCGTAGTTAACTCGCTAATCCGTGGCAGGATTAGCTCAGTCGGTAGAGCGTTTGACTGCAGAGCGGGAGGTCGCGGGTTCGATTCCCGTGGCCGGACCATTACTCAAGGTCTTACAATGACTGAGAAATCAGGGACACCCAATGTATCTGTTCCTCAAAATATCTGTTCTTCAGGCAAATTTTTGCTGGCTGGGAGATGTGGAAGAAATAATAGTCCCTGGAAGGAAAGTGTTGCTGGGAAAAAGATAATTCAGGGTGTCAGAGGGGATTTGAAGTCTAGAATAGCTGCTACGGGTTACTTGTATGGGTTACTGGCCACTCAAGATCTGAATTGTTCCCTATGAAACTTCCCAGTAAGTCAGGTTGCAGGTTGTAAGTTTGCTGGCTGGGAACTCTTCCATCAGTCTTGCTGGGAGTGAGGAACAGATAATTTTTTTCCAGCAATCTCCCAAAATGCTTAAAATAGTCTCAGAAAACTTTATTCACGCTTTGTTGTTGTTTCTAGGTCTTTTTCTCAAAATTTTCCGTTGGGTGCCCCTGAGAAATGAAGGTACTTCCTTTGCACTGCAAGCGGCTAGACCTTCGCGTGGCTCGGATGACCACGTAAAATGGCGGTCCCGTCTCCATTAGGAGACGTAAAAATAGTGTCCCCAATTAGCACTTTCGTGCTAAATACATTCAGACACTCAAATAAAAAAGTGCAAAGTACTGCATTGATTAAGCTTACAATCCTGAGGGATCAATCTAGGAATCCCGGCTCCAGCAAAATAGGCCACGAACTAATCATCACCTTTCTGTTTTGCACCCTCATTAACAAGGTTTAACTGTATGGCTTTTCTCAGACTTAATATTTAAGTCAACTTACCATCTTGACATGTGTTGCCGCAAATCTTTGTTTCAGATCCGTTACCACTGCAATTCTTGCCCAGTCCATCGGGAGCTGGACGAATACAAAGTCGATACCTACCCTGGAGTCCTTCGCAGTCTTTGCTGCAATTTGACCAATCCGACCAATTGGTATAGTTTCCATCTATGCCTAAAAAAATTAATTAATGTATTTGTAGTATTGGTTGATCTGAGGAACTAAATTTGTAACTACTGAATGAGTAATAAAAAACCAATCTGTATAAATCTATTTTTTTTATAATAGACCCAATAGCATACCACAATCTGGTAGGTTACATTCCTGAGTTTCCTCAGCTGGACCTAAGTTTCCTCCAGTGCAAGTTGTTCCACCACCGGATGGACTAGGATTGGTACAATTTCTTGAACGTCTGCGAATTCCACTGCCGCAAGTAACACTGCACTCTTGCCATTCAGTCCATTCAGTATAACCACCAGGTACGGCTAAGGTGAAGGAACAGTTCATCCACTACAATGAGCCTTGATTGTTGGAGACCAACTATTGAGCATTCTCAAAAACCCAATACATAAATAAATGTTTGTATTTGTTTACTGAACAAAGGCAGCAGACTTACGACAATCCTGGTTATTGCATTCTTGGTCTTCCTCATCTGGACCCAGGTTTTGCTTGATACAACTTGGCCCGCCACCGAATGGAGGGGGATTTGTACAGGTTCTGTAACGTCTGTGAATTCCTCCGCCACAAGTAACATTGCATAGTTCCCATTGGGACCATTCAGTATAACCGCCTGGTATAGCTAAAACAGAGAGGTACAACCTTCATTTCGATGTGTTTACTAGAGTGTTGTACTGAACTGCTTGTGAACAATCTAATGGAGTTTGGTTTTATAGGTAAGGAGATTTATTCTTTGCTTGAACCTTATAATATAATGATTTATTGTATGGCTGAATCCGCGAGCGAGCAAGTTGAATTGAATCTTGCGTTCTGATTGGCTACACGAGCTGGCAAGATGGGTCCATCATGCCTGCTTGGGATTTTCCGCGTTGCTCCAGCAAGAAAAAGTCTTTTTTGTCCTGTAAAAAAATCCGTTAGTAACCAAGCTTGTTCGGTCAAGATGGCTGCATATTGGTCTCGTTCTTTTTTTTGCGATCTTATTGACCAATTTTATTGAGAACTTGGCCAATATCTAGCAATCTTTGACCTCACACTTGGTCAATAACGCATATATACTGGCAATAAGACATTAAGAAGAAGCAAGAAGTTCAAACCCTTTTTTCAGTAAAGTGGTGATGAAGCGTCCTTCGCAAAAAATGGTAACACTTACGGCAATTGCCCGTGTTACATTCTTGGGTTTCCTCAGTGGGTCCAAGGTTTTGTTCAATGCAGGTTGGTCCACCGTCAGAAGGAGAAGGACTGGTACAAGTTCTGTAACGTCTGTGAACTCCTCCACCACAAGTTACACTGCACATCCCCCAATGAGACCATTCAGTGTAACCACCTGGTGTGGCTAAAACGGAAGAAAAACTTGACATAACAATGTGCAAACCAGAAACAAAAAGTTACAACCAACTGTGATAGAAATCAAGATTGACACAAATTTTGTTTTAAAGATAAGGTGAGTAGTTATTACATGTATTTGATGTGATTCAAATACCATGTTAAGGTGACATTTAAGCAATTCTAAAAAATGTGATCAAAAATTGAATACCAGAATTGTTGCACTAGAAACAGGCTTCAGACTGGTTCCTGGCCCTATTTTTGTTGTAGGTAGCTTTCCTTCAAGGATGCCTTCAGTGCTGAGTACAAACCTTAGGCTCACTAACTAGGGTAAGTCCGGAGTAGTCGGGGAGGGGCCGGTTTGGCCTTTTTTTGTGGATTTAATTAACTTTTTGAGTAGTATAAATTAACGCAGATGACGTCATGTATCTCATTAAGATAAGGTGATGTCATAGTTTGTTTTCAGTAGGCAAGGAGCAAGTGACGTCAGAATACCTAGGGGTTTACGTCATCAGAATATGTTGAGATCATAATCTAGAAATAGTGTATGACATCATAGACTAAAATTAGTAGCATGACATCACATTTTCACTCCTCCACCACCACCACCAACCTTACCCTTGTCCCTATTGATTTCAATCTGTAGGGTATAATTTAGTACAAACCTTAGGCTCACTAACTAGGGTAAGTCCAGGCCATTGGGGGCCAATCCTCAAGAGGATGGCTTAGTAGAAGGCAATATCTTAACTGTGTACTCAATGGCTTTTAACTGTTTGCTCATTGACTCGGCCATGGTAGTGATAGATCATGTGCATGTCTTCGATTTGATTAGCTAGGTTCGAAGACTGCAGATCATCAAATCGGACAGTCGTTTAGTAGGGCGGAAGGTTTTATCATTCCGTTATATTTTTTGCTAATTAAGACTGTAAAAAGACCTCCTGCTTTCTTTCATCGTTAGCTTCTTGAAAAATTTTCCTGTTTCATAATATTCAAGCATTCAAAACCTTTCGTTTAAGGCAAGAGCGACACTTACGACAATTTTGTTTGTTACATTGCTGTATTTCCTCAGCTGGTCCCAAGTTTTGTTCGATGCAGGTTGATCCACCGTCAGATGGAGGGGGATTTGTACACCTTCTGTAACGTCTTTGAATTCCTCCGCCACAAGAAACATTGCATTGTTCCCATTGAGACCATTCAGAATACCCGCCTGGTATAGCTAAAAAGGAGAGGTACAACCGGCGTCAAGATGTGTATGCTAGGGAAGTGTACAGAACTGATCCTGAACAATCTAACGGATTTTTGTTTTATAGATAAGACGTTTAATTCTGTGCTTGAATTGTATAACATATTGTTATATTTGCAATACGACGCGATAAAGAGAAGTTATGAAATTCAAACACTTTTTGCGGGAAAATGTATATAAAACGTCTTTCGCAAAAAATGGTATCACTTACGACAATTGCCTGTGTTACATTCTTGGGTTTCCTCAGCGGGTCCAAGGTTTTGTTCAATGCAGGTTGGTCCACCGTCAGAAGGAGAGGGACTGGTACAAGTTCTGTAACGTCTGTGAACTCCTCCACCACAAGTTACACTGCACATCCCCCAATGAGACCATTCAGTGTAACCACCTGGTGTAGCTAAAAAAAAGAAAAACTTGACATAAAGATGTGCACACCAGAAACTAAAAGTTAGAACTAACTCTGATAGAACAAATTTACAGATTCTGACCGGATTTTAAAATTTGATCGAACATTGATCAGAATTGTTTTACAGGCAACCGGTTTCAGATGCGTTCCTGGCCCTAGCTTGTTGTAGCTATAGTGGGCTTGCCTTCAAGGAGGCTTTCCGTCGGTGTTAAGTTGCAAGCCTTGGGCTTACTGTCTTGGGTAAGTCCTAGCCATTGGGGCCAATCCCTGAGGGGAAAGCACCCTAGAAGACTGCATATCTTAACTGTGTACTCAGTGACTGTTTCAAACGCTATACTCATTGACCATGGTGTTGGATCGTGTCCAAGCGTTTTGTTTGATCGGCTGTAATCGAAAGCTACAGGTCATCTGGCAGGTCTGTGGTGGTTGGAGGGAACTTTATTACCATACGATATATTTTTTCATTATTAAGTCCGTTTAGGAGCTCCCCAGTTAAAAGAGTTCACTCAATAACGATTTTAACCATTTTCCTGTAACATGAAACCGTTACTCTAGGACAAAAGTAACACTTACGACAATTTTGTTGGTTACATTGCCGTATTTCCTCAGCTGGTCCCAAGTTTTGTTCGATACAGGTTAGTCCACCATCAGATGGAGGGGGGCTGGTACACGTTCTGTAACGACTCTGAACTCCTCCACCACAGGTGACAGAACATTTTTCCCACTGAGACCATTCAGTATAGCCACCTGGTACAGGGGGAACTGAAGGAACAACGAAAATAAATTGTCCAAAATCCGCTGTTGACCAAAATCTGCTGGACTGTCATAAACTGTTTTTGTTGAAAATGTTCTTGAATGTTATTGGTCAAATCTTTTTTCTTGTCGCTCGGAATGATTTGTGAAAGTGAAGACCGTTTTTATTCCGAAGAGTGTAATTCAATTTCGTTTCCGCTTTCATGTTATGTATCACAACAATAGAGAATGATAGATATTACTGCTAATTTTTTTCTCTGTGCAACACTGAAAAGAAAAGAACAGCTTGTAACTAGTCAGCTAGAGCTATTCTAGCGTCAAACATTTTTGGACTTTGTAGACCTCCTGGAAGTTGATACTGTAGTTGACGATACTTACTACAGACACCCTCCAAAATGTCATTTATTCGCCCTGGTAGGTCGTTATAACTACTGATCAGAAGAAAGGTGTCACTGATACTTTGGAGAAGGGCTTGGTCGACCTCAGTTCCAAGTCCAATGGCCACACGGTATACATTCCTCGCCTAGAAAAAAGTAAACACTAGTTTCAATCTGCTCGATTATAGTGTAGCTCATATTTAAAATAAGATTACTGAAACACAGCACGTGGTCGATTAGTCTAATTACTATACTTCTTTCATCTATGTAATTCAATAATTTTTTCGTTGGAAATGTCAAGGAGGTGGTGGTGGTAAAAGATAAGGGGGGGGGTGAAGGGTCAAATCCAAAAATTGTCAGTCTTCAGAGTCATAAAGAAAGCGGACGCAATTCTTTAGTCACATTGTAGATAGAGTTAAAAGTGAAAGTACGCTGTACAGGCTGCAAATTAGTAATCTAAGAGGTACTTAAAATAATTATTGATTGAGCAGGAATTTGATTTAAAGTGTTTTGGAGGTACTAATTATTTACACAACATTTTCTTTTGCATTCCTCTTGATTTCAATTTTTAGAACTTACTTCATGCAAATTGAAAAAAACTAAAGATGAGCCTCTATTTTATGTGGCCCCTAAAGTAAATATAGAATACAATAGAATTGAATAAAATTGCGAATTATTTTATTAGACTGTTCACATTCCCCTATTTTCCAGTGAGATTGTCGAGATACAGCGCGTCTTCAACCTGTCTTCAACCCGTGTATGTATATCAATCATGCAAGCATTATAGGAATCTCATAACGTAGGGACAACACCTTGAGAGCCGTAATCCCAGATACGGGCTAGATAGGTGTGTGCCGCCCGAAAGGGTATGGTTTTTGAGGGTCTTCATCCTTAAATAGGTTAGCTATTTTTGTCCTTGTTGGCGTTACGTTCCTGGTGTGATCCATAGAATGGGTACCGTTATTCTATATCACCTGTTAAAACTGTACTTTACCTTGGAGCATTACGAAAGCCATTTCAGGAAGATTTGCGTGTTTGCATCAAATTTTTATTTTTTCATTTCAACTGGGTCTCATTTTTCAGGTTTGTTAAAAGACCCTGGGCGGCACACACCTATCCGAAAATTTATTGGAGTACCTTCCCCTAGGAGACAACAAGGCGGCCAGGAGATTTTGTATCCTGTACGTACTCACCATTAGATTTGCGTTCTCCCTTTGGAGTTGGGTTTCATGACCATGGGTTTTTCCGTCGGTAAAAATAATCATGACATCAGGTGAATCCACTCGGTTTCCAGGATCGCTGAAAGCTTCATTTACTTTTTCCAGAGCCTTATCGAGTCGTGTTGGTTTGGTTCGCGTGTCACTCTTCATCTCTTCAAATTTCCTTTTTAAGCTTTTCTTATCCTGAGGGTCACTGAACCTGACTCGAATAGCTGCTTCTTTAGCAAATGAAATGATCGAGAAACGGATGTCCTCAACACTCCTGAAAAATAATTCACTCATTTCCCTAGCAGCATCCAGAACGATAAATAAATTAGACGGTGATATGCTTCTGGTCTCATCAATGACCACGGCGATATCCAAGGAAGGATTGCAATTCGGCTTTGTTACCGCAGCTAACGAAAAGAGAATAGAGTTATTAATGAGTTAATTGGGCTCCCGCATCAATGGATAAATCAGAGGTGTTATATATTTCCAACACCGATTGATCTAAGGTTTATATTTATAAATTAAAGCTTAAGTAACATATAGATTTAGCCAGGGCTAAAAGCGAAGCTCTGGTTAATAATACTTATAAACCAAAAAAATGAAATCGTGTTATGCTAAACGAGGACGGCAATGAAAATGGCATCAAGATCAATAGATCTAATAAGCAAAAACAAATAAAAACAAATTTGCACGTGCAGGACGCTTTTTGTCTTTCTTTACCGTTGTTTTGCGCAACTGTAACGCTGTTTTGTAGGATTAAAACTTCAAACGTCCTAGTTACACATTATTTTTATGGAGGAACCCATGGTGCTCCGCTGCGCGCGGTTCGTTTGTTCCAGCAGCAGAAGCACAGAACCATGTTTTAATGTTATTGCTCCCTTTAACTTGCATTAGCTTTGTATAAACTTCATAAATGGCTTTAACATCCTTGGACTTAAGGGATTCTTATAACATATTATGCATGCAATACGAAAAATAGGCCACGCCCACCAATGACAAACACCTTATTTATTTTTAAGAATAAGAACCTGAGTAGCCTAATTTTCCAGTTAGCACCATTTTTATAAGAATCTTCTTAGCCTAAAACTTAGGTTCTTATGCGCAGGTTTTTACAGTAGTTTGTTCCTTTTTGGCTATCGAGCCAATTTCTGTTTGGAAAGTTGAAATAAGCTATTATCAATATCGGTTTTCCTTTCATCTCCTTCGTCTTCCTCTTCTGAACATTATCATTGTTATTGTTATATTGTTAACTATTATAATTATTAACATTTATTATTATCATCATTAACAAATAAGCGTACGGATGCAGCATGTGGAATGAACGACAAATTCAAATGCTGCACACAAGGGAGTAGTCAAATGCAGTACCAAGTGATTTTGAGTTCGTTCCACAAGCAGCAAGAGCGTTTATTTGCCGGTTGGGGTATGAAGTCTTACATTTAATATTTTCAAACTGAGTGCTCTACATTTTTTGTCTGTTTTACCGTGTAAAGTTCATGAAATGGGAGACCGAATTGAACGCGCCATTAAGCACTCCAGTTAGGCAACGAGCTTACACGATTTCTTAAACTTGTATATTGAAAAAGATTGTGCAGATTAATACTTCAGCTGTTTTCATAACAATGAGTCTTATAACGACCCTATGACCAAATCCAAATGACTTACTTCGGCTTGTTAAAGTGATTATACCAGTAATCATAACTATGACAAAATTGCCAAATCTGATTGGCTACCAACTGCCCTGATTTCAGCCTTAATTGGACAGTTTGATAGGACAGTACGCGTCATGCCTAAGTAATTGGACAGTTCGCGCCATCACGCGCGCGCTTAAATGGCTTTTTTTTTTTTGCACTGCTAGCAAAACAAATTTCGAATTTCTTGTGTTTTGATTTAAAAAATAGCCTGTTATATCACAAATTTTGTAAAAATTATGATTAATTCGTAACAGAACTTCCTGTCGTCCAATTCGGTCTGTAATCATACTCGTGATTAAAGAAATCGGACTCCCGGACTACGCGGTCGTCCGATTTTGTTAATCACTCGTATGATTACAGACCGAAGTGGACTCCACTCAGTCCTGTTACCATTACTAATTGTCTCAATAATAAATTAAAATGCTTGAATCTGATGGGTTCTTAACAGCCCTTTATTTATAGCTTAATTTTGCTATTGTAACTCCAAAACTGTCCGATTACCAGGAGCTTGTAATTGTACAAGCCAAATCGGACAGCTGAAGAGCCAATGAAAATCAAGTAGCAAATGCCACTAGCCAATGAAATTTAACTAAATAGCACATGATAACCAATCAAAATCAATGAAAAAATATTGACCAGGTAAGCTGTCTTTAACTGGAAAATATTTTTGTCTTGGAATCTGTAAGCTGACGGAAAAGCTGTAATTTAATTCCATTACTTTTAAAAATTCTCGCATGCTGTTGAAATATTGAGGGCAGACGCATTTTGATTAAAAAATGTATTTTTTTAAAAAATTTCATCATGCAGGTTTCGACACATTCCGATAGTTTCATCCAAGGTTGTAGCCGATCATGTTTTTGCTTTGGAATTTTTCTCTTATTCCAAGACTGAGATTCTCCCATTTGTTTTGTTATTGACACAATTAATTGGTAATAGGTCTTCGTGTTGTACAATTCAGAGGTAATCGGGCTCGCTATTTCAAAATTTTCAAGATTTAATTTTCACGCCCAATTACTCCCTGAATTGTACTCCACTCAGTCCTATTACCATTACTGATTCGAGCAACAGCAAGAAAAACCGACGCCAATCACAGTAAAAGCAGCGACGCGATTTACGCTCAACTCTGCTGTAAGTCTTGCTTATTGGTTCGAGACTGAAAAGGCGCTACGATAAATACAAAATAAATCTCAAACAAACTGCAGTTGCTGTGAAAAGTTACCTTACAGGGCTCACTTTGGCTAATTAACATGGCTTAACTCTGTTTATTTTGTAATTTCCCAAGTACAATATATCATAGTTTATTTTTAAAAAAAAAGTATTAATACCTTTCACTTACCCGAATAAGCAGCGAAAAGGAGAATTACTCCCGGACCAGCACTCCAAAGAGTCATTGGGACAGGTCCTGACGTATGTAATCTTATGTAAAGAAAATTTTCAAATAAAATTATATGTTAAAAGGATCTAACAAAGTTGAAATCACGATGTTTATGGTTTTTACGAGCTTAATGAAAGGTATTTCATCAACCTGGCTCCAGATGTTTAAAAAGTAGATAACGTTATTAGTTGAATCCGCTCTGTCATGGGAAAAACGTAATTGATGGTGATTGGTTCCTGGACTTAGTACATAAAAATTGAACTGTGATTTATCCGGTGAAAAGCACTTAATTCAGCGTTTAAACAACCTGGACCCATTTCTCGAAAAACCCGTAAACTTTTCGGGCCCGAAGGCAAATTTTAAAATTCAGAACTTGTTGAACAATAGCACAGTTTCTAGCCCCCAAACCACTCAATTGTGCTTCGTTAACTGATAGTTTCACTGTTGTCAAAATTACTGAAACTTTGATCTTGAATGCAATACAGCGAACACAAAATAGCTTTCCGATAAAAGCAACTGTATATTTGTTTGTTTGTATGTGTGTGTGTGTGTGTGAGAGAGTGATTTTAATTAGTGCTTCTTGTGATTCTATCTTATCTATATCACTTCTCACTGAGAGCTCTGGTGCGCGAGTTAATGTGACCTACTTCGTATCAGACTTGTTCCATTTTGACCGAACAATTTTCGTTCAGTTGGGAGCTATATTATATAATTTTATCATGTTAAATCTCGGCTACGCTTGTAAATGGCAAAGAAGTTATTTATCTCATTCCAGTCAGGTCTTTTAATCCTATTATGCTTATTATGTTTTGTTTAAAATCATTTGATTGAAGTGCCTCTAAATGAACTAAAGCAGCTGAGTACTAACCGTAGTTCTTTGCAAGGAATAGGTGCACAGGAAGATAACTAACGACTTTCGATTTGTGTTTACTGAAAATTAAGTGATGAAACTTACTAAGGGTTGCCAAATTCAAATATTATTGGGGATTGCAACCATCATTTACGCGAACATTACAACTGTACAAAATATTATTCGATATGCTGAATTCAGAGATGAAAAAAAAAAAACTTCAATCCATTGTTTTTGAGCTCAGACAATCTCGTCCAGTAGCCCTTTTCCGTGAATCCATAGAGTTCGTCAGTTTTTCTTGAGACAATAAGATGCAGTTTACTTCGAATGCTTCACATACCCTTTAAGATTGTAATCCTTCTATATAGTTCTATAACCAGTTCTAAGAATTCTATACTTTTATTCAAATTTGTAATTTTAGGATTATATTTTTACTAACCTCATTTTACTGTAAAGTTCGTAAAGGGCTAATGAACCATAGGAAATAAGCGCTATAGAAATTATAATTAATAGAAATAGCGAAAAAACCCTATGGCTTATTGGTGTAAAACCTTTTTTCAGTTTACCATCTCCCTGGAAATGCTTCTTATGGTTAAAACATGCAATTCAATTTCGAGAGATCAACTTAGGATAATGCCAGTGTTAAAAAATACTGCAAACTTTCAATAATGAAAGAAAAAAAAAATGTTTTGCTGTTACAGCACGAACGTTGTTTTGAAGTACGATTTAAATTTTGATCGCATAAATAACACTGGACACTCTTTCCAGTCACCTGAATTAGTCATTGTCCACTTGAGACAGATATCGCGAATGGTTCTGTGCTAATTACTGAATAAAAATCTATTACAATGTGTTGTAAGCTACAATAACGTACCACCCGTGCATCTACTCACGTTAATTACTATGTGAAAATCTAAAATCATCTTGTTGTTTCCTATACACAGAAGACCCCGGATATCTACGACCTTCTCGCTAACTCGAACCAAAATCTATTTTCTCTGGATTTCCTTCATACATTTGCCATAATTTTACCCTCGGTAGCTCGCAAAGTTGATAACTAGAACCTCCCGCTAACTCGAAGTAATTTTTGTTTCCTTTCAGGTCATTTCTAAATAATTTTACCTTAGAAAACTCGCACTAATTTTCAAGAGCGTGACAAGTCGAAAAAATAAGACGATGTTCTGCGGTCCAAAACATTGGGTTTATTTTACCGTGTATTCTTTGTCTGTACTTCTTAGACAGGATCCAGTTCAAGTACACAGCAATTGTCTGGCCCTGAATATTATTTAAGCTTTGTTGCATCAATTCCTTTTTCAAAATACTAATTTAACTCTTGCTGCCCTTGAAATGACTACATGATATTTGCATTCCCTCCCCACCCATTTGCTTATTTCGTTATTTACGGTTATTTGCTTTGAACTCCAGATAGTTCTAACTTCTTTCGATTTCCTTGGTGGGTTCGAGTTATCGGGAGTTGACTTTTAAATCTCTCGACCAACCTTGAAACTGTAATGAGAAATTTTCTGTTAATTGGATTGGATATGAATTAAGGCCTCATTTTTGCCTCTGGTGGATTCCAATAAGATAATATTTTTTGTCGCAAATTCATTTAATCCTTCTTTCTTGCTCTCTTTCTTTCCATTTCCTTTTTTTCTACATCAAGTTTTGTTACCCACTTTATCATCTTTCCTTCTCACGGAGCCTGCGAATACAGCCGTTTCTCCTCACTTCTTTGAGAAACGGTTGTATTCGCAGGCTGGGGGAAACTGTATCTGGAAACTGTATTGGATGAAGAGCGAAATTGGCAGTGGATTTTTTCTCAAAATGTTAGTAGATTTTGTGTGTGTGTGACTCTGACCGGATTGATGAGCCATTGATCAGAATTTCGGCCAACACGATTTATCTGTGCAAAGATCTATCCTTCCTGAACAGGTTTCTTACTAAATTTACCTAAACTGAGAGCTAAATGGATTCGAAACAGGCTCAGTTATGCATAAGCTGCATCGCTCCATGTTAAACCGAACTTACTACACTCGATCCTTACCCAAGGGGTTAAAACACCGTTTTCTTACATACACCAAATGATTCGCAGAAGGTATAATATGCACTCATCAATGGACTGTGTGAATTTCTTTCGAATTGGTCCCAAAAAAAGAGCAGCGCGGTATCCAATTTACAATTCCTCGATCTACGATGTTATAGTATTTAGTTTACGATAATCAGTTTGAATTAGCGGAACTTGCTTAAACAAAGTTGTGCGAAATTTAAAACATGAAGTTAGTAAATAAGAATGATATTTCAGACTGGACAGACTAAAGGGGCTAAAGGGAGGGAAAGGAAGTGAAACAGCTGAAACCTTCACCCCCTTGCTTGGTTAAAACAAAGAGATGAATTATCAGCTCGAAGTTGCTGTAATCGCATAAATTCTCCTTTCCTTTGACTTTCCCTTAAAATCAAGAACGTAGCACTCGTGCAATTTTGGTATCTATCAGATCTCATGCAAGGGAAGTGAGTTAACCTCGCTGGTGACTCTTCTCTCGTAAAGTGCTTGTAATAAGGAACCGAGGTAGTTTAAAGAAGAATGTTTCTCTACTCGTCAATATTTAGTATAAATAATTGAACGGTTATTCCATTTAATGAATCACTGGTTCTGTGAAATGACTGAATATAGATGTGTTTCTGTCTAGGTAGACGTCGTCGGTTGTCAACTCTGATTAGTACTTAACTTTGAGGCAGATTTAAAACTATTAAACTGGTTTACCCTCAATCTGTCCGTAGTGGCCAAACGGGCTTTCGAGAAGCAAACAAGTAGAAAAGTAAAAAGGTTTCCCTTAATATTAAGTAGCAATCATGAAATATATGGTATCTATCTGAAGCAAACAAGGAAGCAACTAACCTTGCTGGTGACTCTCGAGCTCCTCCTGTGAAGTGCTTCTGTTAGTAACTAAGGTGCTTTTAAGTAGAGTGTTTCTCTACTCGTCAGCTTATTCAGTATTCAGTGTAAATGATCTTACGCTTATTCTTGTTATTCAGTTAATTGATGTGTTTCTGACTAAGTAGTCTTCCTTTGTCGTCAACTTTGATTAGTACTCAACTTTTCCGCAGATTCATAACAATTAAACTGATTTTAGTTTTATATGGCCAAAAGGCCTTTAGAAGGAGTGGACGAATTTAAAAAATAAAACCCTGGGATAAGATAAAGTTTACCAAATCAGTTGTACTTTAGACTTTATCCAGAGAGGGTACAACTCATAGCAGTTACCATAGGGTGATAAACTTATGCCTCGTGTAGAACAGACCCTTTCAAGGTTTTTTCAACTTTTACATGAACAAGTAGGGAAAATCCATCGACTTTGCTGGAAAGAGCGCCTTTAAATTAGTGAGGTTACCAGTTTTAAAAGTGATTCATACGTCTTAAGCGAGCAAAGATATAGCTTCGAAAATTTACAGACGTTTGCAAGTTAAATTTTAGGAAATCATAACCGGATGTTGAAGACGCTGCTATGTGGCGTCACCGCTTGAGGATATCCGGGATGACACGGAATGAGATTTTAAGGACCGGAAATAATTTTTGTCAACAGGTTAATGAAAGCGTGGGATTTTCCACACTCAAACCTTGTTCGGGTTCTCCTGAAAGAAAAGCTCAAGCTTCCCTGGCAGTTTTTCTTTTCGTCAAATGAATTAAAGCAATGTTGGGCATACAAGTACCCAACACAGCACGCAAATTTAAGTTTACACAAATTTCCTCATGGCAAATATGGTGCAAAAAAGTGAAAACTAGGAGAAAATTAAAGGCAAAGATGGTAAATACCGCATTTGTATACCGGTTTATATGGGGTTGTAAATTCGTGGTCAAATGCGGTATTTACCATCTTTGCCCTTGATTTAACCTTAGTTTGCACTTTTTTGCACCATATTTGCACTAAGTAAGAAAAAAGATTTGCCTGCCAAACTTCAGCTTCGATCACCTTTGGTAGGTTTACTGACTAGCAGGCGAATACAGACGTCTCTCCTGCGAAACGTCTCTAGCGTCGAGGAACGAGAAGAGACGGCTATATTCGCAGGTTACTGCTTTACTGAATTAAGGATGTTTTTTTTTTTTTGCCGTGTTCATATGGTGATCTTTTAGTAAACAAACAAGGGTAAACGGGTTGCATAGAGAATCATGAAGGCATTAACATGTAGCACCCCATGTATGTTAATTATACATCCTCGGTAGAGAACTCGTTAACTTTATTGGACCCATCGTTGTTGGAAACAGTGATCACCAGTTGTAACGAACTGAGCAGACGTTAACAAGGCTTCCACTCCGATCTACCTCGATTTGGACTAAGCGTTGATTTAAAACGCTTTCTTCAAGTAGCTTTCAAATAATGAAATTAAGAATTGGCTCTATATAATTACATTCAAAATAAAATGATTCATGCATCGCTTAGCCCTTGATGTTGTAGTGGCCATGAAAAGCAAATAATGCGGGTCCAGACTGTACATTCACTGCTCTGTTCGCTTGATGCCTTTCTCACTAAGGGTTTTTTTAAGGGAAGAGGAGAACCTCCCTCTCTATACATATGTTACCCACTGTTAAAGATTATGGGACTCGATTACACTCGAGTCGTAAAGAAAACTGTACGAGTGAACCTAGGGACAATTTCCCTACCCTACCCTAGTATGTAGATTTTAATGTCACGTGACTCGGTTGTTCCGCGTAGTCGCTCGAAGATTGTAAAATCTTGTAAGTCTTAGCAGTCTCGGGCTGTACATGTAAATCGATGTATATGAGCCTTTTCGAGCAGATTAAAGTTGTGTCAAAACCCGTGCTTCTTTGCTTTCTTAACACCCACAACAAACGGCTAGCTAGCTGTAGTTAGCTTATAAGCCTGAATTAGTCTTGGAAGCTACAGTTTAAAGGAAATGCGGGGATTACAAAAATCAAACACATCAAATCTCAGTCCCTCAAATTGTTATTTTTTATTATTGTTTTATTAATTTATTGATAAACTACAACAACAATACAACAACAGCGAGCAAAAAGTACTGTTCGACAACTTAAGTACGTAATGCGAGAGCAAAGAGCGAACTTTGATTGTATATATTAACTGTTATATGTTGTTCAGTTAAATAAAGATATACGATTTTTTCAACATAATTTTCAGTATTTATCCGTCCGTCAGGAGAAAGGGAATAATTCATATCAAGAGCTATATTGAGAACTATCGGCAAGAAAATTCCAATTTTCAGTATTTATCCGTCCGTCAGGGGAAAGGGAACAATTCATATCAAGAGCTATATTGAGAACTATCGGCAAGAAAATTCCATTTTTGGGGGTCCCCTGCTTTTCTCAAAATTAGTCGATGTTTTATCCATTTTGGCTTGCCAAATATGAATCCGAATATGAAACCGTGCTAGCAGTAAACAGTAGCTTAATTGAAGTGAGTATCCTGAAGAATGAGTGTCCAGCCTCAAGCTCAGTGCAGTGATATTCATTAAGTTGTATTTACCGCCTATCGGAGGAGTGTTTTGTAGCCAATCAGTCACGTTTTTCCAAAACATGATGCAACATGGCATGACCAGAACAGATGAATTTGCGTCTCTAAGGAGTTGTTGAAAAGGTGCAATTGTCGTTATTATTGTTATTTTTATTAACTTATATATTTGTATTGATTTATTAAGTTTTTAGCTCTTGTTCTGCATGACACAACGAAACATCTACTTACGAACAAAACAAATCGAGGAATGCGTGAATTTAAAAGCTGGAGACTTGATCTTCTCCTCTCCCTTGATCATAAATTAACTTTCCTTACTTTCTTTTACAAAGGAATTCATAAAGCATAAGTTTGCTCTTTTCCTGTACAATAAATTACATTTTTTTCAGGTCAAAGTAAACTCAACTACCATACCAACTGAAGACGCTTTCTATAGCCCCGATCCTAATGTAGATACCTCTGTGTAAATGGTACAAGTCTCCTTTGTAGCCGCTCCGGCAGAAGTCACCCAATGCTCCCCTCCATGGATCACGTGACTCCCGCCCGAGCTGCTGCGAACAAAATTAATACTGTGTAAACAAAAGATTCTGTTATCAGTGAAATCAAGCAACCTTAACGACGATGGCAGCGAAAAAGACACATATGCAATAGGTTTAACAAAAGAGTAAAAAAACGCAAGTGCGTTTAAACAAAGAAAATCAGAAGACCTTTGACACTGTTTTGACAGACCCTTAAGATGATCAGATCACAAAAAAAAAGAAAACGTTCGAGTTGTTTCGTCATAAGAAAATAGTAACCATGACATCCAATAATCCCTAAAACCCCTTCAAGTCCCATTCACCATTGCACCCTTAAGATATAAAAATCCCCAATGTTTTCCCATGTAATCATCAGTGTTTTTCGATGTAGCTTTATCCTGAGCTTTATTCCGCTATACCCTAAAAAGGGAAATATTTCAAAGCAATTACTTCAAGGAAGTAATCAAGTTAGAGGGAGTAGATATACGTCATGTGTAGTTTCGTATAATAATGATGATAATAATAATAATAATAATAATAATAATGTTTAAATTAATAATAATAACAATTAGTCTTTATTTCATAAGATCAACACACACATCCTATCTTACAAAATTATGAATGCAAAAAGCACGCTACAATACTTGGAATAACAATAAAAAATTAAAGAAATTAAGGAGCTAAGTCGTATTTAAAGGTTAGACGGTTTACAAAAGAATCCATAGAACGCTTCGTGTTTTCTTTAGGTTTCCGGCTGACTTTCTTCCAAACTGGTATCTGGTGTTCTTAACCTCCGGCAACATTTTATACAGCGGGTGGCCCTCTAAGCCCATAACTCTAGTGTGTATTTTTAATCTTGTTTTTCTAAGATATCGTATGAAACTCTGTACGGGTATTCCCGACGAAATCGAAGTCGCGACGATCGTTGATGATGAAACGAAGTGCATTCCATTTGTGATAAGTTTGACAACGTTAGTCATGTGATGACTAATAAGCACACGCCTATTCACCTCAATTTTGATGTGAGCTCCGCCTTCAAATTTTCCCATCGTTCAAGTTTGCCAACCCGTTTAGCGGAACAATATGAAATGACAATAAGGACACCAAGTTGTGAATTCAATTACTGGTCCCTTTTATAGCTTTGTGCGTAGTGTACTTCATAAATTGATGTCTAAATAATAGAGGCTCCGTCAACGAAATGCTTTATCATAACAAGTGACCAAGACCGTTTATTTCGTCATAGGATCTATTTGCAAAGGGTGCTCCCAGGTACACCGCACTTCCTTCTTACATAAAATAAATCTTTTCCCTAAATTGGGCCGTTAAAAGCAGAGTTATTTAGTGTCGCTGAGCGCGGTGAAGGAGAAATTGGAGTGGTAGTTACCTCATCACTGCTAATGAAGTCATTCGCGCATGGTCCCATGTTGCACTCCCTGACCTCATCAGGCGGTCCAACGCAATCTTTTCCTCCTTCTTGCGGGGGTGGAGCAGTGCAGCTTCTGCTTCGTATCTGAACACCATTGCCGCACGTATCACTGCAGACCGACCACTCACTCCAAGGGGTGTAAAGGCCATCAATCTCTGTTTAAAATTATAATAAGAAGAAGCACAATTTTTTTCTTCAAGTCCTATCTACAATGTTGTCAAGTTCCTGAATACGTTCTACGGCGTAAACCATCAATGACAATTTCTTTTCTTTCCTTCTATTTCGAAAAACAAAGGAAGAAACACGAAATCTGAGGCAGGTTTCTTGGGGTGGGACATGAAATGTGTTGTGCATGTTCTTTAGTGCAGTACAAACCTATATGCTTTTGGGGGTTAGCGTCATTTGATTCTAAAATGCGATATGATGCGTCATGATGTGCTGTGATATGATTTGATGTGATTTGACGTGATTTCATGTAATGTGAGGTGATGACATGATGTGATGTGCTGCAACATGTTGTGATGTGATGTTATTTGATACGCTGTGATGCAATGAGATGTGATGTGGTGTGAGGTAATGAGATGGGATGTGATGAAATGTAATGTAATGTGATGTGAAGTAATATGATGTGATATGATGTGATGTGATGTGAAGTGATATACTGTGATATGATGTAATATCATATCAAGTTCAGTGATGTCGCGTATGAATGGACAACACCACCTGCCTTGTTATTTCCCAAGAAACCACCTAAAGTACAAGTATGTATAATTTCCATTGTGCAGAATTCATTATAGTAGGTCAGCCCACAACCTTCTTTGCGAAAAGAAGAAGTCTGGATCATGTCTGTTTTACAAATATCAAAGATAATGCTTCATTACCACAAATTTTTTTCACAAGGTCCATGATTGTTCCGTTGTTTGTATAGTCTCGCAGTTCATTAAGCCTGACCACCTTCTCTGGTCCAGCAAGATTCTCAAGCAGCGAGAAATTAACTCGTATCCCATAACCGACGAATACCACCTGAGCTTTGTTTTTGGTCTATGGATAAAAAGAAGAAGGTACGTTATGAGCACTCTGTTTGAGAACTAGGCTGCTACGTTATTAGCATTTTGTCAAAGAATTAAGCTAAGAGTCGCCCCATTTCCGGAATCCCCCAAATTTTTTTCTTGTGGAATCCGGAATACAGCTCAGGGAATCCTGAATCCAACAAAGATTGAAATCCGGAATCCAAGTTCCACTGACAGAGAATCCGGAATCCAGGGACTGGAACCCAGAATCCAAGACTGTCTTGGATTCCCTTACATGGTGCGATAGTGAACGAGGCCCATATAGCGCTGCGTTGATGGCGTCATGTCAGTGACCCGCATGGCAGATAACACTGACAATGATACACCATGCATTGCGTTGATTTATGACTCAGGCTTCAGGATTCAGAATTCGGGGGGGTTTTGTTGCCTAAGAAGTGCCTACGCTTCACGGCTGTTAGACCCATGAGAGAAAAAAACTGGAAGTAGAGGTTCAACAAATCATGACTCGTTGGTCATCGTCTTCACGGCAACCAGGAGCGGAGATTAATCAATGAGACAAAAACCAAACTTGATCGTCAGAATGACTGAAAATTTCGCTCCTTCAAACGGAATTTGGATTCCGAAATCGGGGATATTCTTGCTCGTGGAATCCAGAATCCAGGAATCTTTTTTCCGTGGAATCCGGAATACGGCTTAAAGAGTCCAGAATCCCATTAGAGATTTGAATCCGAATCCAGGTTCACTCGACGAATAAACTGGAATCCAGTACTTGGAATCCGGAATCCGGAATCCAATGTTTGGAATCCAGAATCCAAGACTGTCTTGGATTCCCTTTCATGGGACGACAAACTCATTACAATGATGTCTTTGCTTCTACACGTTAAGTTTGTCGGTACTGTATAACCCTTTCTAACAGCTTTAAAGTGATTTTGATACTCGAAAGCTATCAAAATGTATTGATTTAAAATCGGCGTGTCTGCTATAAACTATCTTATCTGTCAATATAGTTGTACCCCTTCTAAATTTTTTTTTGTCAAACTATCTGAAGTTGAAATAACCAAGAGCCCAAGGAAAATTAGTATAGGTAATAGCGTGATTTGTAGTGATATTTGGCTTAAATACCACGAGTGATATTTTAAAATTGTTATACGAAATTTCACGTGCCGTTATGGGAGTGAAATTTGAGACAATTTTGAAATATGGTGGTATTTATGCCAAATATCACGTACAAATCATGCTATTATTTGTTTATACTACTACCCGCAAAGGGTTTGTAATTTTCACACGTAGGTATTTCAAATTAAGCTGAAATACCACTGCTCTAAGCCAATCAAATTGCAGACATTTTTCATGTAGTAGTATAATGCACTGTGTACTTACTCTAAGAGGAGGTAATGCCTTATCGAGGTCGACTTTTTGGGGGGGAAATGGTCTTCCATCAAAAAAGACAACCAGTACGTTTGGTTTTTCTGTTCTATCACCACCTTTGTCAGAAAACAACATTTCGGAGACTTTATTCAGTCCAAAGTCGATGCGCGTCTTAAATGTAAGCCTTATAGGTTGACTCTCAATCAAAGCAATGAGGTCTTCTTTGTCGTGGCTTACATAAGTTGTGAAGTTGTCTAGTATTTCTGCATCGCGATCAAACGTAGCCACTCCAACTCTCGTTTTGTTGTTGGCCATTTCATCTGTTCGCAGAAATGTGGGCAACATTTCTTGCAAAAGTTTTCTGTAGTTCTTTTTCGGAATACTTTTGGAACTGTCTATTAACAAAGCGAGATCAATACCATCCTCACAAGGAATCTTCCCTGAGAAATAAGAACACGCGATTTTAGTTTTCTTTTTCAACTACTTATATTACTCACTGTCTTCTACTACTTTTCTTATCATTGTTATCATTTCATAACGGTGATGTTACACGAGACGATTCGGAACTACGATTTTTAGCGTAACACATCATTGCAACATTGTTGCGACATTGTTTCGAATGGTTACAACATTGTTCCAGCATTGCAACGCTTTGTTGCCCTAAAAATCGTCGTTGCGAATCGTCCCGTGTTACATCGCCGTAAGTAGGCTGAGTATGATTTTCCGTGTGGGAGTAGTCCTGAATTGGACTATTGTTGACAATGACTGACGCTTCGACAATCTCCGCCGTAGTCATTTTTAGAGTCAACTTGAGTTGTATCACGTCAGTTAATGGTATTAAACTCTGGTTATTAACCTGATTGGTCACTGAATAATCATTATTATTGTCATTGTCATTATCATCATCATCATCATTATTATTATTATTATTATTATTATTATTATTATTATCATTATTATAATTGTTGTTGCTGTTGTTATTGTTACTATTACAACTATTGGATGCTTTAAACTTTTTCATCTTTCATATACAGCCAAACTAAATGTCCAAAACATTTCTTGTTATTTTTGCAGAACCTAACAGATCTAATGCACAAACTAATACCATGATTATCATCATCATCATCACTATTATTATTATTATTATTATTTATACTATTATTTTTAGCAGTAGTAAAAAGAGTAGTCTGTAATGTGCACGTTTTTAATCCTTATCAACGAAACACCACGCGCGCTTTTTATGCAAATTAAACAATCTACTACTGTTAAGCTTCATTTCCTGTTTGCTGAGACACCAAGTATTAATCTTACTTTGGAATAAATTTAAGCAAAGGCGTCGTTATCGCAAAAGGGTGAGGGTGCTCCCGCCATTCCATTAAATTTCTCGTTACACCACTCAATTTCTTTCAGTAATAAATTTCATATATTCTGAAAAGGGGAATGAGAGGAAGAAGACTATACTACTTATTTTGTATTATATTATTACCTTTGCATTGTTCGCCACAGGGTCTGGTTTCATTTGCGTCTCCTGTGCAGTTCTTACCAAGTCCCTCAGGAGGTGGGTGTGTGCAAAAACGATACCTGTTTTGCACACCATCGCAATCTTTGCTACAATTCGACCATTCTGTCCATTCTGTAAAGTTCCCGTCATGACCTTTCAAATGCAAAAAAGCCTCGTTTTATTAAGTTTCCCAACAAGGTTTTTTCATGGAGAAGAGAACACAGGGCAATACAGATTTTGAATCAGGGAATCTTTGTATTTCTAGTAGCAATACGCGTCATCTTAATACTTTCAAACAATTCGAAAAAAGGTCACGAGAGGAACGGAGAGCAATACATATTGGGTATCAGAGAACTGCTGTGTTTTTAGGTTGTACGCTCCATCTAGAAATACTTTTATACAATTCGACGATTATTCAAAGGCACTTTGGGGTCACAGTGAGAAGAGGGAAGACAACAGTAGTTCAACTATAACCCTGGTCAAAACTCTTGGGAAATTAACGCAATAGCTCGTCAAATTGAGGCATCTTCCCTCCCCACTTCCCCCTCGGCACAATGTTGACGTTATACATTCAAGTTTTAATTCGACACAATCAACACTGCTTGGGGGAGAGGGGGACAGCAGAAATAGCCCCTTATAACATCATCCCAAGCTGTTTTAAGAGGTAGGATATGAGTTAATTTTACAAAGTGCGTCTTTGTGCCTAATTTCGTCAAGTGTCCCAAGACGTTTGACCAGGGTTGTAGCTTCCTTTACGATTCTAATCCTACCTCTGATCTTCTTTAAAACGTACAAATTCCAACCGTTACTTTTTCTCCGTTCCAAGTTTGCATTATCTTACTTTGCACTTACCACAGTCCATTGTATTGCACATTCCTGACTCCTCACTAGGTCCAATTGTGGTGCAATTTTTTCCCCTATGTTTTGGGGCAGGGTGAGTACAGGTTCTGTTGCGCCAACGAGTTCCTCCATCACAAGATGCAGAACACTTCGTCCATGAACTCCAAGGAGAATATCCTCCATCCAAACCTTTGAAGTTCATTGCAAAAGAGCAAGACTTGCTTTACCTGAATGGACCTTATTCTCGATACCCGCCATCTTTGCAGGCGCTTAAGGACTGATGGGATAAATGCGATGTCACGTGGTTTCTCAGGGGGTAGATTTCAGATTTCAGATTTTATTGTATTTGCACAATTAACATATTGATTACATTGGACTTGGAATTTGAATAAATACCTTACGGAACAATGTCAGAAATAAAGATAACAAGAAATTAAGGAATTAAGATGTGCGCAGTGACCAAAGTAGCTGATGCTTCTGGGTTGGTCACTCCCACGTTAAGCTAGCTGGCATAGACAAAAAGCGTAGTGAAAAATAATTATACAAAGAGAAAAGGTTCTAAAGTAATAATATTGACGGGTATTAAACAAAAAGAAAACAATAAGCAAAATAACAACAACAACAACAACAACAAAAAGCAAAAACAAAACATGGCTAAAAGTGGTTAAACTAAAGTAAACTAATTACCAATTTTTCCTCGAAGCTGAATGGGTTCTGAGTCAATAGCCCATGAGGCCGACGGCCGAATGGGCTATTGACTCTGAGTCCATGAAGCCGAGAGGAATAATTGTTTTAGTAAAATTCAACTAGTGGGTCAAAAATATCGAGACAAAACAACTTTAGCTAGCTAAAGCTAGACTTTAATCCTTTTTTGCCGCCCAAAATCCGGCGCTTTTCGCTACTAGTGAGCTATAACATATAGCCTAGTAGTAGCTCAACCAATCAGAACGCAGCATTGATAATAGACCCTAAGAGGATTTTACTAAATCAATATATTCTACGAAACACATTGCGAATGAAGCAGATATAACTTGAAGTGTTTAGAGAAGCGGTAGTAACTTTGTTTTTTTGAGCTCCAGTGGAATAGTCTCCCATATTTTCGATGCAATGAAAGAAAAAGTGGAAGCTCCATAGTCATTATTTATTTGTGGCTTATTGAAGTTAAGATTAGAAAAAACAGTGTAATGACTATGGCAGTAGGAAGCTAGAGGTAGAGTTCCAGAAAATATTGTTGGGATGCCTGTTGGATCTTTAATGATTTTATGTGCAAAGAGTGCTACTTTGTGTTTGAAAATGTTATCAAATTTGAGGATATCCAATAAATTGTAGTAAGACTTAACATTCTTTCTACTGTGTGCAAACAAAATTGAACGAATGCACTTATTTTGCTTAGTCGTGATCCTATTCAGCCTAGTTTTGCAAGCACTTCCCCAGGTTAAATAGGGATAGATGAAAGAGTAGTACAGTTGTTTCATTGTATGCAGATTTGAGGTCCCCAGTGTGAGTGTTGATCTATACACACCCAGGTACTTTATTTAAATTTTGATCTTGATGTTATTTACCAATTATTCCACGATGGCGCGTTGGATATGACATGATAGATAGCCAACGAGGCGCATAGCGCCGAGTTGGCTATAATCATTTCATATCCAACAAGCCCGAGCGGAATAATTGTTTTATTAAAAACGCCCACAAAATCTCGTTGAATCGCCCCGACTAGAACAAACCGAAAAAGACAAGGGACTTCCGCTATTGACATGTCACACGTCTATCAAAACTGTCAACGCGCGAACGGGCTCGCCTAGACTGCATGAATGAAAAATCAAAACATTGTGCGATGAACATTAGTTTTTTAAAAACTCATCGTGATTCTAGGATTTTACACAGCAGAACAGCTTAAAAAACCTGGCAGATAATGTGAAGGAAAGGAATTTTTAAGTGACAGCCGTCGAAATTACTATGAATTTGGATTTTCGGTGCAGTTATAAAAGTAAGAACAACGGAGAAAAACTACTGGTATTACCTCGTCGCTTGTTATGAAGTTGTTTGAAGCCACAAGCTGGTTTTGCTGAACGAGAAAAGAAACTATACTGCCGCCTCGATTGCTCTAGTGAATGGCTGCATAGCCTGTATTTGTAGCTGGTTACTTGTGATTTATATTCTTGATGTTGGATAAACAAGCTGCAGTTATCTATCGGCGAGTGACTCGATCGGCGAATGGCTTCGCGATCATGAAGAAACAACACTTGTCTTCTTTCGTAGCTGGTCAAGGTACTTTAGTTCCATGTGTTTTTCGACAAACTTTCAAACAAGCTCTTGTGGCTTTTTTGTTTGTTTATGTCTTTTTTCTTTCGTTGAAATTGCATTTCTAGTATTCTAAGAAATGAATTAAAACGATTTGCTTCGGGCCCCGTTCTATCCTTCGCGAAAAAAAATGTCAGCTAGCTTCCAATTTTAAACTGACGCGTACACCGACCATATATGGAGAACATGGTATATTAGCTCATATACCATAACGGCTAAGCCAATCAAAATGCTAGAATTGCATTATCCAATGATTCAGTTTTTAATAAATACATTTATACTTCCACTTAAACTTGAGGATGAGACTAGGATGTAATTTGTCTTTGAAAAGTTTATAGATAATTTGTTAATGGCACAGTACTTAACTACTGACTTAAATTCTTCATTCATGACTGACTCTAGGTTATGCAGATTATTACTTTTATAAACATATTAATGTCATCAGCAAAGATTCGAAAGGATAGTTTGCTTGAACAGTTTGGCAAATCGTTAATATAAAGAAGAAATAACAATGGACCTAAAGTTGACCCTTAAGGTATACCACAGATAATGGTCTGACTGCTTGACATAGTGTCACCAATTTTGACAACTTGATTACGATTGTATAAGTAGTTTTCAAACCATCTGAGAGGATTTCCACGTATACCATATCTATAGAGTTTCGATAACAGAATATCATGGTTAATTGTGTCAAATGCCTTTGAAAAGTCAAGAAAAATACCGCAGGTGACCAATTTTTATCCATACCCTTCTTACGTGAGTCAGTAATTTCTAAGACGGCCTGCTCAGTGGAGTATCCCTTCCTAAACCAAATTGATACTAACACAAAAATGCCATATTTTTCAAGAAAGGTGTATAGATGGTTATAAATTAACTTTTCAAAAACCTTACTAAAAGATAAGAGAGTTGAAATAGGCCTATAGTTGGCAGGGTCAGTTGCATCACCATTTTTGTAAACTGGAGTAACCTGTGAAACTTTCAATGTATTTGGAACTATACCAGTTTCAATCCATTGATTATAAATTTGTATGAATCGAACAGATAATGGCGAAAACAAGTAAAAAAAATGCCAATGGAAATAATCGAGGTTGAGTTTGTTTATTCTACACAACAGGAAATGAAGACCTTTTCATCTTAAAGACGATAATGTCAAAATATGGGTGGAAGTGATGCTTGTTATTTTTTTGTATGCAGTAGCGACCGTAGCAGTAATTATAGCAAACAGAAATGACGTAAATCTTGCCAAAACTCGATATGTACATTTTACATGACTACGAAAACGTCGTCTCCTTTTGATAGAATAAATAAATTCGACCGCGATTACTCGTATTGGGAAATTTTATCACTTGTTTGCCCCATGAAACACCACGTGACATAGCTTTTATCCCATCGATCCTAGAGCACGTGCAAAGATGGCGGGTATCGCGAATAAGATCTATTAATGCACCTTTTCAATACTCAAGTTATTATTTCAATAAATGAAAGAGCAGGTCACTGGGGTGGCACCGTAGAATAATGATCCTGCTCCTCTAATTGGTTAGTTCTAAAACAACGCAGAGCTAATAACCTCACGCTTCGCGCCCGGTCGTTATTTTTAAGAAGCCCTCGGAAATTAGGCTACTATATATATTTTATAACTTTGGCGTCTGCCTTTACAGGCGTCTGTAAAATAAACAATAATGGATCGCAGAAAGAGAATGTGTATTGTTATATGCAGAAAATGCACATTCATAACGTTAGTTCCATTGTCATTTCCGACATGTCAACATTTTGCAACTGATGAGCGCGCATAAAAATTGTTAATAAGCATCCATAAAACTGCGATATAGATAAGAAAAGTCACATGCAACATATAATGTAAATTAACCTAAAGGTACGGAAAACCGGGCAAAAAAAAAACCTGCAACCGTTGTCTTGCAACATTACTGCAAAACGAGTTGAATAGGGATGTTGCGAGTTTTGCCTCCCACACCAAACCTTTCTTGCAACAAATCATCAGGTTGTTAACAGGTTTGAACGTGGGTGGTAAAACGCGTTACATCGCTATTCTACTCGTTCTGCAGCAATGTTGCAAACAAGGTGCACATTCTTGTTGCCCGTTTGGCCGAAGATTAAGAAAAACTGAAACATGATGATACTCACTGCAGGTAACTTCTCGGAGTCTTCGAAGCGATTTTGAGAGTTGTTGAAAGGACTGTACTTCGATCACATTATCAGTGTTGCCAGCAATCTCTTCCAGTTGATACCGGTAACGTTTAGCTTTACTACCAATGCCAACAACCACACGATGAACATTTTTCTCCTATAAAATTTGACGCCGTGGACCGATGTAAGGATTACGTTTTGAGAACATGAGTCTTTAGCTTTCATTAACCTGCGTCAGAGTTGGTGGGTTCGTTGGAGAGCGCGAGTGAGTGACAAAGCCATGAGGAGAATAGTGCGAAAACACTAAGTTAAATGTTTATCCTTAAGGCTTCACTGTCTTTCTCTCTTTCCATTTACAACAGATATATAAATATAGAAATACGTAATAACATTCTATGAACAAATCTGTGGTCAAGAACAAGAGAGAGGCCTTGCAAACAGACGAAACATTGTGGTAGATATATATATATGATATAAATCATGAAATCAAGTGAAGAATTATCCTCAGAATTGTGAACACAATTTATGCAATTGCAATTGCGTAAGAAGCCTGAAAAAAATTTCCCGACTTCATCGGTATTTGAACCCGTCACCTCGCGATACCGGTGCGAAGCTCTAACCAACTGAGCTATGAAGCCACTGATGTTGGGAGCTGGTCAATTATGCGTTCAACTCCCAAAATTGTTGGATGTTACACTTTGCGTCCGTTTGCCCACACTGTTGCATGTTGTTGGGAGTTGTTTGGCAAAGTTTGAAACAGCTTCCAACATTTCTTTTGTTCCGTGATCTCCGAAGCGTAGCGCAACAAAGTTTGACCCGTTTGCACAACTCTTCCAGCATTGTTGGGGCCTCGCACGTGGATTGCACATGGTTTGCTCTAAGGTCTTATGGGTTGTGTCCTTTCCACGATGCACTGCAGGTCCCAAAATTGTTGGGAGTTGTTACATCTGTTTGCACACCACTGCCAACACGGACGCAACAACTCGCAACATTGTTGGGCCAATAACGTTGGGAGTTGTTGCGTCTCTTTGCACCTGCTGAATTCTTCATATCCAGCCGACGCTCACCAGTTTTCGAAGATATAGGTAATATACAACCGACAAAATGGCATATTGCCCCAATATAAAATGACAACCTCCTTACTAGTAAACTCAAACTCAAAAAACTAGCGAAAGAGTTCTCTGCTATCCGAAGACGAAATAGCCGAATTTCTGACTGAAACTCAACGGAATAATTGCACGAATACGCTTGCTTGATTGAGGTCATCTACTTTATGAGAAGTATCTGCCAGAAAAAGCTGAGATCTGTTTAAATCCTGGAACCGCTCCGAAAAACAGGCAAATGTTTCCAAGAAAGTCTTAGAGGAGGTAAGATTGTTAAGAACTTTAATTTTGAATGAATAGCCGAACAATCATTGAATTAGGCTTTCGTACTCATGAAGAATTGTGCAGATCTCAGGGGCTTTTATCCACCTTGGACGATAACATCTTCCTCTGTCCAAATAATTCTTTAATACATTTCAATAACTGTTAAATGATAAAAGCAAGAGGTAACTGAATAAAAGATACTTACTATGATTGGGTTTAAAACTCCTTGATCCCCAATAAAATTTTTTGAATCAACGTGCGTTTTTCCGTCAGTTAACAAAACCAGTGCGTCTGCAGCATGACGACGATCTCCGTTTGCTTCTTCGAAGGCTTCATTAGCAGCTTCCATTGCCCTGTCTGTCCTTGTTGGACGGCCAAGCTCATCATTTGACATATCGATGATTAGATCTGCCAATTGCTGAAGATTTGAAGACGCTGTATGATTAAAAGGTATTCGTATGGTTGCCTGATTAGCGAATGTGACAACGGAGAAATGGGTTGCCTCTTCACTGATGGTGAACAAGGGTAAGAATTTTCCCGCGAGGGCGTTCATCATTATTCCATAATCGTGTTTGCCGACACTTTGAGTTTGATCAATAACAAGGCATATGTCCAACGGAGGGTCTTCACAGTTTAACATATCTGCGGAAAAAGTTTGAAAAATGTTAGTTTACTGACTGTACCGGGCAGAACCTAGAGCCAAACGTAGAAGGATTCGTGCGGACTAGCTGTTGGCAAA